CTCTCTCTCTCTCTCTCTCTCTCTCTCTCTCTCTCTCTCTCTCTCTCACACACACACACACACACACACACACAAATAATAATATAATGATAATAAATTTTAAAACTTTAATAGGAGTACATGGCAGAAATGACAGTTAATAGTTTCCAGTTTTTAATCCAAAGACTTAACATTCCTCAAAGAAAAATTTTAGTGAAAATCCAGTATAGTACAGCAATGGAGCTGCTGTGAGTGACGGAAAAGAAATAACAGAGGCCCCGAGTGGCCTGGGGCCTTTTCCTCACTGGGTTCTGCAGGTCAGTTTTCTTACTTGTCCTTCCTTGGATTTCTACCCACTCTAGGGGTCACGTAGCATTTTCAGTTTCTTTTTCTGTTACCTTTAATGTCCTAGTCTCTGATTTCGAGAAGTTCTTGATAATGTATAACCGTGATTTTTTTTCCTATTGTACGTTACTGAATAAAATAAAGTTCATTTCTGCTTGACTGCTTGGCATCCTCATTTGTTGTCCGCTGTGTGCCTTCCTGTCGGCTGCTTCTGTCTTATATATGGCACATTACTTTTGAGGAGTATACAGACACACCTTGAATCCGAGTAGTTAGACTTATTGAGACAGTTGTAATTAGAGACCAACTCATATCATAGCGTGAAGACTGAGGAAGTTCCAGGCAAACCAACAAACATTATTCACCCTAATGTATATTACTCAAAAATATGATTTGGAATGTGAGTAAAGGTTGCCCTGAGTGTTTAAAATAGGTTTTCAGTTCTGTTATCATAGACTCTCATGTTTTAGCTTTGTGCTCATTGAGATCTTGCTGCATCCATCTTCAAGTATTCTCTGACGACATGAATATTAGTTGTCCAGTGTCTCAAAAGACACTGATGAACATAGGATTAGTTAATTATTAAAGAATTATTTTCATGATAAGGAGGCAGAATGGAAATGATGGTCTTAGAGGTAATCTTACTGTGAAGAGTTTCAGAGATATAGCCAAATTCAAAGAACTTTACAAAACAATAGTTATGTGCCCAGTACATGGATATTTTCACGAGCTATGTCATCCATCCATCAACATGTCTTATTCTTGACACATTTGAAGATTACTGTGCACATACTAAATACTCCATGTACATACATCACTAGAGTTGGATGATTATATACAGTTGTGGTTTTTTTTAAGTACAAAATTTATATGGGGTGAAATATGCAAGTCTTCATTATACATTTGCTGAATTTTAACAAATGCGTACAGTGGTGTGCCCAGACCTATTAAAGGACAGGCTAAGGCAGAAACAAGTGGTGGATAGCTGACTGGTAGAGTGTCTCGATGTGTGAGACCCTGAATTCAGTCCACAACAGTGCTTCATCACAGGCAGTCTCTACTAACACTCACAGCTGTCTGTCTGAGATTTATCTATCACAAATGTGTATTCCTTAATGTAAGGTTAGTGATTTGGAGATTGATCACCATGTCAACAGTGCCTTTGTATTGCTGGCAAGTATTCTGGTGTGGGTATACAGTATGCTGTTCATATAAGTATTCTACATGATGCATGGTATAGAAGGTAATTAAGTAGAAATGAGTATTTCAGTACTTAACTCAGCTCTGGACTTGCTTGTCCTTGGCTGTTGCTTATCTTGGAGTCAATGGTAAAAATTCTATACCTCAATAACCCATAAAATTTCATGGATGCAGCTTTTTCATTTAATATTTAGTTCTAAATAGGGCGAAGTTATAAACACTTTAATGCTAAACATAACTTAAACTTACTTAAATATAAGCTTACTATACTTGACAACCCACATTCTAAGTTGGATCTTTATTCTGATACCAGTCTAAATGGAATGGTGACTTCGTACTCTAGTTCTGAGAAAAAAAGTGCCTACTTTGGCACTAGATAGTTGATTTGTTTTTTTGTTTTGTTTTGTTTTTTTAAATGAGACTTAGTGGTATTAAGTAAACAACTGGATGATTTTAGGTGTGCACACCACAATGCTAATTTCAGTGCTTTCTGTCTTGTTAAGGTTAATGCTTTGGACAGTCTTGGACAGACATCATTGCACAGAGCTGCACACTGTGGTCATCTACAGACTTGCCGCCTGCTCCTGAGCTATGGGTGCGATCCAAACATCATATCTCTGCAGGGTTTCACCGCCTTGCAAATGGGAAATGAAAATGTGCAGCAGCTGCTTCAAGGTAGTAAGAGCTTGCGTGACATTCTGTGGTAAAGATTAACCTTTGAGATTTTTCACATAGCAGGTGTGCTGTGTAAGTTGGTAATACACTTTTTGAGAAATGTTAGCTTTCTTAACTTACTCTTAGATCATTATATTGATACTTAAATGTCATTAAATTATAATTATGACTTTCGTTCAGTAGCATATTCTGCCCAGTTTCTCTGTATAAATACAGGGCACTCAGGTTTAAAGTTGATAAAGTTGATTTGCCAGGCATGATGATAACACGCCTTTAACTCTAGGACTTGGCTCATGGAGGCAGGCACGAGTCTAGGACAGACAGGGTTACAGAGACCCTCTCTCGTCTCTTTCCTTTTTGTTTTCCTTCCCTTTCCCTCTTGCTTTCCTTTTCTTTTCTCCCCCCACCCCTGCCCCTGCTCTTTCTTTCAAGTTTAAGAAGCTGAGCATTGAGAAACGGTTAATGCCAACATTAAAGAGGCTGAGGCTGAAAGGTTATAAGCTCAGTGCTCCCTTGGATATTCAATGCACACCCACCATGCCAAAGTGGGGTGGGAGAGTCAGGAAAAGATTAAAAGATAGGGTTGTTTGTTTGGTTGGTTGGTTTGTTTTGTTTTTTAAAAACTATAGCAGTTCTGGTGATACTTCCCCTAAACACTGGGCTTGCTTTATTCAATTTTTAGATCTTGGGTATGTATGCTTCTTCTGATGTCATGTTAACAGTGTGGGTCTTTGCATTTTGTCTCTGGCTTTATCTATTTCATTTTTTTTTAATAGGAGTTTTGCCATTGGTTCTTTCTCTGATATACTGTTCTGGATGTTTATCCTAAGATGTAAACAGTTATCTCTGGTTTCTTTTAGTTCTTTCAAGGTTGAATTTTTATAATTAAATCTTTACCTGGAACTTCATTTGTTGTACATAACTCTTTTCAGAATTTTTAACTGAAAATGACTAGCTACTTGCTAATCCAACTTCAATCTTTAAATTTGAAAAACGTCTGAGGGTCAGGAAATTAAAGTAATTTATGCCAATTCAGAAAACAAGTTAATGGCAGAACCATGTTTAGATTTCTGCCAATGCTTACAAAGGGCTTGGTTATAAAGCATGCAAAACGTTGACTTTGGTTAATGTTTCTTTATATGGCTTAAATGACATTTTAGAGTTAGCACATATATATCTTTTGCTCAGTCTGTATTCTCAAAAGTTTTGTTAGCATTAGTTAGTGTTTTTCCCTGTGACAATACTATGTAAGCAGCAAACTCAAAAAACTGCTTTTGTAAAAGATGATCTTCTTTCTTCTATATGGAAACTAACCACTCTTCTCTCTTTTCAGAGGGCGTCTCACTAGGTCACTCAGAAGCAGACAGACAGTTGCTGGAGGCTGCCAAGGCTGGTGATGTAGAGACTGTAAAGGTAAGATACAGTCAGTTTTTTGTTAATTTTTAATTGGTGGGGTTTTTTTGGCATTGTTTAATGTGTGCTGTTATAGCAAAGAGCTTTATTAAAGGATAAAAATACCAATTCTGGAGTAGGAAATAAGAAACACCGATGGGGGAGGGCATTAGTGTGTATTAGTGGAGAATATTAGTTTCATATATGTTTTAGAAGATAATCACATTCACAAATTTAATGCTCTTCATGTAGTATCAAATGCAATTGTCTTAAAGAACTCACTTGTCCCTATAACAGGAGAATGAGGAGCTGCAGAAACCATTCAGAATTTAGAAGCATTTACAGCTCTTGGAGAGGTCCTTTGTTCAGTTCCTAGCAACCACATGGTGGCTTATAATCAGCCGTACATAACTCTGGTTCCAGGGATGCACCACCCTCTTCTGACCTCCATGGGCACTGGGCACACAGGGTATAGAGCACAGATAAAACATTCACACACATAAAATAACCTTTTGTTTTTAATACAAATATTTTGAGGAGAAATATGTACCAGGCATATTAGTGTATACCTATTTTCCAAATACTAGGGAGGCTGAGACAGGAGATTTAAGAGTTTAAAAGACAGCCTGAGCTACCTAAGAAGATCCTGTCCAAAAGCAATACCAGGATAAAGAAGAAAGTATGTGTGTGTTGCTTTCTACTACTGTTTGTATTTGACACACAAACAAAAGGAACCGAGTGCCCTTCTGCACGCAGGCTTCTGCTCGCTTACTCATTATTCCATTACCCATCTGCCTATGGGGCAGTTGTTTGTACTGTGTGAGCACAGTGTTTGGCGCTGCTCGGAACAAGCAGTCTTGCCTGGCTGGGCTGGAAATTTCTTTTCTCCCACAGAGCATCCAGTTTCTTGTCTGTCCCGTCCCAGCAGCAGTCTCTCCAGAGCCACCTCCCCTCAGATGCTGTTTTGACTTGTGCTGTACACACATTGATGTCATACTGCTAGTACTGTGTGTTCATGTTCTATACAGAAATGTCTATCTAGGGAAATAACCCAAAAGCCTGATGTTTTGAAAGAGCAGGACTTAAATTCAAAATATAAACCAGAATTTTTTGGTTAGTCTATTTCATGAACTAGGTAGTCTTTAATGCTGCATTAAATGTTGTTTCAGTTTTTAAAATTAGCAGGGGAGAAAGCCAGGGTTTTTTTTTTTCTTCTTTAAAGACTTTTCAAAATTAGACTAAAAATTTGAGTGAACACTTGTATGTACTAATTTTTATATTGCCAAATGTTTGGTAGAATGGCTATTCAAAATAATTTTCTCTAATTTCTACATAGTAGATTTTCTATAGGTTTGTATGGATTTCTTTTTTTAATATCTTTTCTAAAAGATTGCCTAGATATACAAGCTAGATGAGCCTTTAATCCCAGCATTCTGGGGCGTGAATGAGTTTAAGGCCATCCTGGTCCACATAATAGGTCTGTCAGCGTTACAGTGAGACCCTGTCTCAACAACGACAAAAAAGACTTAAAAATGTTGGTCTCATTCTAGAGCTCTGAGAGTTATTCACTGATGTTTTAAATGGGTTCAGTGTTGGGAGGATCATGCTGTGCTTTTTCTCCTTCAAGCTTTACAGAGGTTCCAGTGACCATCCTCAGGTTTCCAGGCTTACACCTGTACCAGCTGAGCCATCTTGCCAGCCCTGAATTTATTTATTTATTGAAATTGCTTTTTAGGAGTAAACATGATACTCTACTGTGCCCAGTGCAAATAATACAGATATCACATGTAACAAGGCTTTCTGATTTTGTTTTTCATGAGTCAAGTGATTTGTGTCATATAAAATTAGAGACATTGATTTTAAACTAGATGATTTTATGTGTGTGAGAGTAAGGAGCCTGGTGAATTGTAAATGTTCATTGACTTACAGAACATAATGTATGTAACAAGCATAAGACTAAACATTGACAGAAGTGGTGGCTTTTCCACAGCATTTGGGAGGCTGAGTGGGAGATTGTTAGCTTGAGACCAGCTTTGTTTCCCCATTTGCTTTTTTGGTGGTGGTTTTGGTTTTACATTAGGCTGTTTGTTTGTTTGTTTGTTTGTTTGTTTTTTAACATATGAACTTTGTTTTCAGTGGTATTCCTCTAAGAAGGAGCCTAGAAGACATAAATTTAAAATACAAATTGGACTCAGAAATCAAAATGATGCCATTGTATTAAGGAAGGACACCCCTTACCTTATTTTCTGGATACCTATAATATCTCACAAACACAACTTAAGAAAGAAGGGTTTATTTCAGCTTACAGTTTAGTTCAGCATGACAGCAGGAGCCTGAGATAGCTTCTCACATTACATTTGCAGTCAGGAAGCAGAGACCAAAGAATGTGGATTTTTAGTTCATTTTCTCTCTTTATTCAATCTAGGAGTCTAGGACACTAGCCCATAGAATGGTATCATCCACAGTTAAAGTGGGTCTAATTACCTTGATTAACATAATCTAAATAGTCCCTCGGAGGCATGCCAAAAGTTTGTCTCTTGGGTGATGTTTACTCATGCAACCTGACTGTATTAACTGGACAAAGTAAAGTGAAGGGTATTAAAATGATCTTTGGTAACTAACCACATATGGCAACAGCTGGTTCACAGTGGAAACACTCAGACCCACTAAAACATTGCTTTGGGACCAGAACCTCATTCATTAAATCTAGCAAATGAGTTTCATAAACTCAGAAGGGCTTTGCCAGTTCAGTGTGGCTACTGAACTTAATCTGGTTTTTGTTTTGTTTTATTTTGTTTTTATGTTGATATTCTTTTGACTCTTTAAGTATTGTGGTCTGTATATTCTCCCAAATTCTTTGCATAATTCTCAAGAATATTTGGGGTATTACTTTTGATTGAGCTAGACTTACTCATCTGAACCAAAAAACACAGCAAAATAATTTTAATGACTATTTCTTTAGTTCTTCAAGATCACATATAACCAGAAACATTTTCTTCATTCATTATATTTAGTACAGCATGAGTCATTGATTTAAATGTAGTCCCTTTATCACTAAGTAACCTAGAAACTTGGTGGGAATGCAAATTTACAACCCCAAACACTGAACAAAATTTGGAGATTAGACCAGTGTACATCAAAATTGAGAACCACTGGTCTACAGTATTATATCTCAAACTTTTAATATGCTTATAGATAGGTCTTATTAAAATGTAGATTTGCTGTGGGGTTTTACTTATTTGTTGGAAAGTGTTACAGAGTCCAGGCTGGCTTTGAACTCATAACCCTCCTGCCTTCATCTTCCAATGCTGGAATAACAGGCATATACTACCACACCTGGAATGCAGATTCCAACTATAGATGTGGATATGGGACTCTGAATTTTTCTTCACCGTGCTGCTGAGATCTAATGTTACTACTACCTGTGTTTACCACCAAATGGTAGTTACAGTTAGTCTTTGAAGTTAGGTTATCAATGTGTAAGTAGAAAAGTTTACTACCTTTCAAAAAAAGTAGAAAATGTAATCATACATGAGAGGACCAGAAGAAATCTCAGTAAATGAGAAGCTGGATTAAGAATAGTTTCTGAAATACTTACTTAATAATAAGAAAATAAGGCATACATTTAACTTTCCTGTTAAATTATGCTAAAACAATACATGAGAAATGAATGTATATACTGTGTTCAATCCTACAGAAACTCTGTACTGTTCAGAGTGTCAACTGCAGAGACATTGAAGGACGCCAGTCAACACCACTCCATTTTGCAGCTGGGTACAACAGAGTGTCTGTGGTAGAGTATCTGCTGCAGCATGGAGCTGATGTGCATGCTAAAGACAAAGGGTGAGAAACACCTGCCACACCTCTCTACCATACCTTTATTGGACCTTTTTGGGAAAATACAAGAAGACTTCTATGATAAATCATAAAACTACTTCATTGTTTTAACATATAATTATTTCCTAAAATTGGGTCAATGATAGCTTATTAACTTCAGTTACTAGTTTATGCTAAACATGGTGGTCCACACCTTAACTCCAAGCATTGGGGAAGTTTGAGACTAGTATTGGCTCAGTATGAGACCCTTTCTTTTAAAAACAAAAAACATGCAGGTGGTTCAAATTTACATTAAAATTAACTCATATAATGTCGTGTTATTTTATAATTGCCATGGGAAATTCATTTTTGTGACTTTCATACTGATAAGTTTTCAGTGGTCATTGAGGTTAAGCTAAATTTGTTTATTTTGAAATTATTTTTGTTTAAAATACACAATGCTTTATGTGAGTGTTTATCATTTTCTTTGTGTTTAAGACATTTTGACCACCCCAACCCACAAAAAGTCTTCTGCTTTCCATAGACTTAAGTTTTACAGAGTATGACCAGAATACTCTCTTAGGTAATTCAAGAAATAAATGTCTTTGGTTAGTATAATTACTGAGATTAATTCGCTGTTTAACTTTTCAGAGGTCTTGTTCCTTTGCACAATGCATGCTCCTACGGACACTATGAAGTTGCAGAACTTCTTGTCAAGCATGGAGCAGTAGTTAATGTAGCTGATTTGTGGAAGTTCACACCTTTACATGAAGCTGCAGCAAAAGGAAAATATGAAATCTGCAAACTTCTGCTCCAGGTAAGCTTAAGTACTTGCTATGAACAGTGCAGTCGTCTCAAGTCTCAGTTGTCTTTCAGATAACACTAATAGGAGTCTTAAACCAATGAAAGTAGAAAGAGAAAGTCTTCTAATACTAAAACTAGATTTCAAAATCTAAATTCAAAAGAAGTCATGAACATTTTAATATTTTAATCTACTTGTATATTTATCAGCATGGAGTTTATTTAATAGCAACCTATTGTGTGATAGTTCTAGTTGCTGTCCAACTTTCTTGTTTGGTAATCTAACCTCAAATTACTTGACTCATGTGATTTTTAAGCTCAATTTGTTTAACCTTCTATGAAAGTGATGGTTCTGGTCTAATAGATACAGATACTTTGCTGTAAAATATTTCAGCATAGATTCATAATACAGTATTTGTAGAAAGGCAAAATGCAGCTACATGTGGTGGTATGCACCTTAAAACCCAGCACCTGGGACGCAGAGTGAGTTAATTTCCAAGAGGCTAGCCAAGGCTGCACAGTTAAGACCCTGTTTTTTAGAAAAGGAAAATTTCGACCTCTCATTGTATGGTAATTCAGTCAACAATAGACATTTTGTCAGTGGTTACATAAAATTTTAATGTGGGGGCTTCAGATGTAACTGAGTTGGTAGAATGCCTGTGTAACATCCACAAGCAAGGCCCTGGGATGTATTCCCAGCACCACATAAACCATTGTATAGGAAGTAGAGCCAGGAAGGTCTATGGGTCAAGGTCATCTTCAACCATAGAGCAAATTTCAGACCGATCTGGGATACATAGAATAATGATTAAATTTAAAATTGTATAGCTGTAAACTTTCACTGTAGATTTTGTTCTTAGATATACATACTTAATAATGGGTTCCAGGTGCCTATGATATTTAAGCATTAATAATAATAACAATAGCAATCTTTGCTCTCATTATTTTCTCATTGACAAAGCACTAAGCACTTCCTACCATCCCTCCTCCCCCTCTTTTCTCTTGCCTAGCATGGTGCAGACCCTACAAAGAAAAACAGAGATGGTAATACTCCTTTGGATCTCGTTAAAGATGGAGATACAGATATTCAAGATCTACTTAGAGGTGATGCAGCTTTGCTAGATGCTGCTAAGAAAGGTTGTTTAGCCAGAGTAAAGAAATTGTCTTCACCTGATAATGTAAATTGCCGTGATACCCAAGGTCGACATTCTACACCTTTACATTTGGCAGGTAAATGAGGGAAACTAGATTTAAGATGATGACATCTAAGATTACTTTAATTTTTATTTTATTTACTTTTTAGTGGGGGTTGGTATGGGATCTGGGGTCAGAACAGCTTGCTAGAGTCTGTTCTTTCCATCATGTGGGTTCCAGGGATCAGATTCAGGTTGTCAGGCTTGGCAGCAGGTACATTTACATGCTGAGACATTTTAGCAGGCCTATAATTTATTTTTATTCTTGTTTAAAATATTTCCTCTAAGTGAATTTAAAAGATGCAAGTCAAATTATCTATCAAAGCTGTCATTCTATCCTAGTGTATGTATTCATGCATTAAGCCATTAGCTGAATTTCACTTCCTGTGGTACTGATTATTTCAGGAAGAACGGTTGGTGGGAGCTGTGGGTATCACACGCCTTTGATCCCAGCACCTTTCAAATTTACTAGAACTGCACAGAAAAAACCTGCCTCAAAAACAAACAAACAGCCGGGTGGTGGTGGCACACACCTTTAATCCCAGCACTTGGGAGGCAGAGGCAGGTGGATTTCTGAGTTCGAGGCCAGCCTGGTCTACAGAGTGAGTTCCAGGACAGCCAGGGCTACACAGAGAAACCCTGTCTCGAAAAACCAACCAACCAAACAAGCAAAAAACCAACCAAACAAAAGTGAAGAGCAATAGGGCAAACGCTGTATTTACCTTTCACTTCCATGACTCACCCGTGTATATACACACACACAGATCCTTCAAAGGAATGACATGCATTAAAATTAGCATGATAAAACTTAAAACCATTATCATTTTTATATTAGAGAATTACAAATTTACTTTCTATAATTATGAGATATCTAGAGACAGTTTGCCGTAAGAGAGCTTGCTGAGCCTACTGACAGGTAATAGATTGTGTCATGCTTTCAAAGCAGTAAGCTTATTCTTTGGTTTTAACAGTGCTAAGCTTACTCTACTGACCTGCAAAGAGAGAGAGATCTCCTAAGCTCTGTCTTCAGGTTGAAGCTTGTCTCTACAACCTCCTGAGAAAGGATGCTCCTGATTGCACATAGATGATTGGGTGCCTGTGATTTCTTTACCATTGGATCATACACTTGAGTTTAGCATGTTATATGTAACAACCATAAAGACAAGGCATTTAGTAGTGAAATTTTAAATGGAAAGATAGACAAATCTTTCTATAATTTGGTAGGTCTCCAAAACCAATGGCTAACAACAACAGAAGCTTCTAATATTTTAGTCCAGTGGAAGATTTTTTTCCAGTAGGTAAAATAATAATAATGAGATTTACCTAAGATTTATTAATATCTATAAATATTTAGATATTTGGGTGATAGGTGATTTTTCTATATTTACAAATGAAAGTGATGTTGCTTTTTCCCCCTGAATTAGCTGGTTATAATAATTTGGAAGTTGCTGAGTATTTGTTGCAACATGGAGCTGATGTGAATGCCCAGGACAAAGGAGGACTCATTCCTTTACATAATGCAGCATCATATGGAGTAAGTTCTCAGTTATCTTGAAAAACCTAAATGATTTTCAAAGTGGATGTCACACGGTTCACCTGGAATTTGGTGTGGCTTCTTGTTTCACAAAGAAATAAGACATTATACAACATAGATGTTTTAGTTCTTAATCTGTATAAGGATGACACAGCAGTATATTTCTGTCTTTCATTGTAGTATCCTTGGCATTGTAGTATCCTGTCTCTTACTTGATGAAATACTGGTGTGTGTGTGTCTGTGCGTGTATGTGTGTGTTTGTCAGAAAATCCATAGGTTTCATTAGGAATCTTTAGAGATTCGAATTTTTTTTTTTTTTTTTTTTTTTTTACTGATTCCTAGCAACCCTGAGGTTCCGATCAGTACTGGCCGTTGTCAGGGGTCTAGACTAAGGAAGGCTGCTAGTTTTTGTAAATTGACATTCACCAGTTATACTACAAGAATTAGTTAGAAATAATGGAGTTCTATACTGAATTAGTTAAAAACCATTGAATGCTGAACTGTAATTTTGAAGCAACTACCCATAAATTACAGTGCTGAGAAGAAATAGCTTTTCATTTCCAGAATTTGGAAATAAGAGATTAGGTACAGAGCCAGGTTTTTTGTTTGTTTGTTTTTTTGTTTTTTTCTTTTGTTTGATTGAGTCAGGGCCTCTCTACATAGCCCTGGCTGTCCTGGAACTCACTATGTAGTAGACCAGGCTGGCCTTGAACTCAGATATCTGCCTGTCTCTGCCTCCTGAGTGCACACCCAGCTCAGAACCAGTTTTTTTTTTTTTAATTAACTGGATATTTTATTTATGTTTCAGATGTTATCCCCTTCCCCCATTCCTCTCCCCCCCCCATAAGAACCCTTATCCCATCTTCCTTTCTCCTATCAGAACCAGTTTCTTAAGAAGTAAAGTTCCATAAACTATTTCCACCTGTAACAGGAATATTTTCTTTTACAGCATGTAGACGTAGCAGCTTTACTGATAAAGTACAATGCATGTGTCAATGCCACGGACAAATGGGCTTTCACACCGTTACATGAAGCAGCCCAAAAGGGACGGACACAGCTTTGTGCTTTATTGTTGGCCCATGGAGCTGATCCTACTCTTAAAAACCAAGAAGGACAAACACCTTTAGATTTAGTTTCAGTAAGTGATGGGCTCTTTGAAAAATCAGAAAGTTCACATGACATGTATAAAATGTCTGCCTAGTGAATATGGTTTTAGCCCAAATTTAAATTTAGGAATTGTTTGGTATTGTGATATATAGATGATAGAGTTATTAATCAGTTATTGTATTCTAAGTAATACTTTGGGCATGAGAAAACGAACAGTAGTTGGGAAACAACAGGCCCAGGTCCTCTGTAAATGCTGTTACAGTGCATGACATTCTAGACTGAAGGTCTTAACCAACTTCCCCAGTTAAAGGCATTGCCTTCAAAGTGTAGTCTCAGATCCTGTTTCCTAACTCACGACTTCTTCCCAGAGCTGTTGCTCACTCTACAAAAGCTGTCTGTCTGGGAGAGCCTGCTGGATGGCTCAGCTGGGAAAGGCGCTTGCTGCTAAGCCTAACAGGCCTGAGTTCAATTCCTGGACCCACCTGATAGAAGAGAGAACTGCCTCCCATAAGTTGTCTTCTGACCTCTACACGAGCATCTTGGCACACATGAACCTATACATATACATGCATACAAATAAAATTAACGCATAAAAGGTTTTTGAAGGTTTATAAAATAAACTGTAGGTGTTTTTCTTTTTCCATGGCTGCTTATAAAAGAGCCTCCTTTGTAGTTCCTGAATCTGTCAGTCACTGGAATAGGAGTGCTTTCTTGCCTCTGCCACTGAGGTCATTAACCAGAGCAGTACAGTAGCAGGATTCAAAGTTTTCTCCTCCCTGGATCTTTGAGACAAGATCTTATTATGAAGTCCTTGCTGGCCTGGAACTTGTTGTTTATAAGGCTGGCCTGGAGTCTCCTACCCACCCCCCCCCTTTTTTTTTCTTTAAGATGTGTGTGTGCGTGCGTGTTTGTGTGTGTGCGCGTGTGTGTGCATGTTTCCGTGCACCACTTGCATGCAAGTACCAGCAGAGGCTAGAGAGTGTTACATACTCTGTAACTGGAGTTACAGTTACAGAAGGTTGTAAACTAGTTGATGTTTTTCCTGGAAACCAAATCTGAGTCCTCTGGAAGGACAACGTTTATTCTTAACTACTGAACCGTCTCCAGCCCTTTGCATGCATCTCTTGCCTACCTCCTGAGTGTGCTGAGATTACAATCATGTGCCACCACACCCTGCCAGAAACACTTTGAGTTGGAAAAGATAGTGTATTCTATGGAGAGAGATTTCTTTATTCCAACCAATTGGAATAATAAAACTGATTTAGTTTGTCTGCATTCAGATGTAAAGCGATGTTTCCAGGCAGACTAACCATATCATATTTGCATGGGGGTTTCTTGGAAATGTCTCTTTGGTTCCAACCTGGTTTAGAAGTAAGCATATAGAATTTATTCCTCCCAAAACATTGATTCAGTTGATAGAATTAGTGACAAGGAAGATAGAAAGCTGTAGACAATATGCACAGAGCCTGAGGAGATGAACCACTGAGTAAAGCACTTGTTGCACAAGTGTGAGAACTCAAAAGTGAGGATCCACACCTAAGCCTTCTTTAACCTTCATGTGCACTGATTTGCACACTCATGCACATATACAAATCATATCTATGTCATATATACCCACAGAATAAAATTATCAAGATGGTTTTGAGAGAGTGAAAGCACGCATGAGCTTCAGAGTGAAATGAGTGTGCCCTGCTGCTCCAGCCTCCACCACTTCAAGCTGCAGTCTTTCTAGTTGCCTAGCCTCTAAAGTTTAGAAGTAACATCTACAAGGGATAAACTATGTCTGCTTAATTAGAGAAGTAAGCATTGTAATAATATCTAAAGCCTTTAAATAGCTTCACATATCAAAATGTACCCAATAAATGGTCTTTTTTATATGTCAGCAAATACTATACACAAACAAAGGGTCAAAAGGTGCACAAATTAAGGAGGAAGAAAAAGATAAGGGGGTAGATACTAAATGAATAACCCAGAAACATCCCTGTTAGTGATTACTTAGCTTCTTTTTAATATTATTTTTTTATTGGAGAGGAGATTGGAATGTGTTTCAGTGTCCCTATAAAAGTCAAAAGGTAACTGTGGGGGTCTGTACTCTTTCCACCTTTTAGGTACCAGGGATTTAACTCAGGCCATCAGGTACTGCCCTTTCCACTGAGACATCTTTCCAGCCCATTACTTAGTTTCTTAATTGAGCATTGTAAATAATTGCAGGTCATTAGTAAAGTGGATATAACACTGAATTTAGAGACTCTTGTCATCCTAGCAGTTTGAGTAAAATGATCTTTTGTTAAAAACACAAAACAGGGTTTTCTCCATTTTGAGTAATAAATCACTTTTTTCTAAAAAATACAAATGAGTGGTCTGTTTGCTAAAGTTCTGTATAGATTGAGTTGTTAATGTCAGAGTTAATTATAATAGGGTGGAAAGCTCTTGCTTTTTAGATTAGTAGTTCTGTAATCAATTTCAGTGCCTTTCAGTCGTGATCTCAGAATTGGCATTTTGTTCCTCATACTTGGCAACATTCAGCAGTTTCTTTGTTTAATGACATGTAATCTGGAAAGAGTGTTCTGAAGTGTGTTTTCTATTTAGTGACAATTTAGCTAGCTGTTTATCAGCCTGTTTGTTTCACTTTTAAGATTTTCTAGTATTTCTCAGTGTCGAATGGTAATAGACTTGGTGTGAATTGTCTAGGTTTTATCCTGTTTTTATTGCATCTTATCAGGCATAGAAGAATTGTAGACCATGTTTATGACAGATTTCATCTCCTTGTACTGTGTCCTAGGCAGATGATGTCAGCGCTCTCTTGACAGCAGCCATGCCCCCCTCTGCTCTGCCTACGTGCTATAAACCTCAGGTGCTCAGTGGCGTGAGGAGCCCGGGAGCCACTGCAGATGCTCTGTCCTCAGGCCCATCCAGCCCATCCAGCCTTTCTGCAGCCAGCAGTCTCGACAACTTATCTGCAAGTTTTTCTGAACTCTCTTCAGTAGTTAGTTCAAGTACAACAGAAGGTGCTACCGGTTTGGAGAGAAAAGAGGGTGAGAGTTTTTATAAATAACTGTAACTCACATTGTAGCTCCATGTTTGTCATTTAGAGTGGTAGGAAATTATCCTTTAACTCTTAAATACAACTCTTTATATGAAATAAGTTAAAATAGCCTGGGAATAGTCATCTTTTATTTTCATCTATTAATAATATTAATGGAATTCCTACAGAAACGCCTTTCAAATCAAAAACTGATGAATGTGGTGCTGACATTTATTTATTTATTTATTGTTTGCTATTTTGTGTGTGTGCATGTTTCCAAACTTGTACTGTGCCATGTGTGTGGAGATTAGAGGACAACTCTGTATCAAAGGTTCTTCATTTGTTTTCTGTTTGGTTTTTTGAGACAGAACTTATCCCTGACTGTCCTGGAAATCACTCTGTCCTTCCTTCCCAGTGATTGAACTCAGGTTGTCAGGGTTGCATAGCAAGTGCCTTACCCACTTGAGCTATCTTACCAGCCATGACCCATTCTTTAGATGTCAGCCTTTTCCTGTCACATTGTTTGTACTTCATACATCGTAAAACCTTTTTTCATAAACTTGAAAGACTTGATCTTGAAAGACTCATTTTCAAAGATGAGGTGAAAAGTAAATTTTTAAATGAAAACAAAACAAATGTTTAAACTTGAGAACACCCACAGCCAGTTAACTGTTTAAGCTGAGCATGAGAGCACGCACCTGTACAGTGGATGTCTGAATTTGCAGCCAGAATGGCAAGCATCGAGTTCCAGGATAGCCAGGGCTGCACAGTTGTAGGATTCTTGCTAGTTTTTAGTGTTACATAAATGGCTGTTAGTACTATTGCTGTACTGTAGCATTGTGTCATTGTACAATACTCTGATGTGAAATTTTATTCCTCCCAGATTCAGGAATAGATTTTAGTATAACTCAGTTCATAAGGAACCTTGGACTTGAGCACTTAATGGATATATTTGAGCGAGAACAGGTGAGTAGGTGAATTCTGTTGTTTGGTTTAGTGTTTAATAGAAAAATCTAGAAAATGCTTAAAATTAATTAAACCTTCTAAGCTATTGGGAAATTTTTTGAAGGGTATCTGTTATGTTTAGTGCTGGGCACTGAACCCTGGGCTTCCCGGATGCCATGTGTACTGTGTAATGGTGTTCTGTGTACTACAGCTCTGAGAGTTAAGAGACTGGAAATCAGTCACTTCTTGATAGGGCTTGACCTTGGAATCTCACTTAGTGCCTTATCTAACAATTGACCAATATGTAGAAATAGAGCATCCTCCTTAGTTACATGTTCCTGACTCAGTCCTGTGCTACCTACTGTGGACAAGAATGGAAATGTGCCAGCCATGTATTTGTGCTTTTCTGAGTACCCCCAGTTTAAAGTATTCTGTCAGAATACATGTATTTATTCATCCTAAAATTTCTTTAATGTGTATGAGTGTTTGCCTGCGAGAATGTATGCTACATGCATTGCCTGGTGCCGTGTAAGTCAGAAGAGGCTGTCAGATCCCTGAGACCTGGAGTTATAAATGGTTGAAAGCCACCATGTGGGTACTGGAAACCAAAGCCCAATCCTCTGACAGAGCAGTGTTCTTAACTTTCTCACTGGCCCCTACAATATTTACATTGTTGCCATTGCTGTCTTCATTGGTCACAGCATACGAGTTCTGTAAACGTGAACCTGCATAACCTGCAATCTAGTTAGGGAGTAGATGAGAAACACAAGACGTTACAGTCTTACAAAGATTCTAGTAAAGCTAAAGACAGAAAAATTTAATCTTAACTGGACGTTATTAGGGATGGCTTTATAGAAGCTGTATAAATTGATTAATTATTTCAATTTCATGAAGGTGAAATAATTGAGGTAAGAGTTTGAACAGTGATGCAGAGGTCCTGGAGGAACCATGCACGACCCTGAGTAAAGGTTAGATGTGGGACGATGAAAAGAACAGTGGAGAGATGAGTTTGGAAGGACAGTTAGGACTCAACTTATTTTGTTCCAACTTTTTGAGTTTAATGTCTTGTTTTCTATAAAAGTTATTTAAAATAATATGAAATGGGGATGGTGAGGTAGCACGGGGTTTGATTCCCAGAACCCACATGGTGGGTAACAACTGTCTTCTGTAATGCCATTGGGAGGAGGCTGTGATGCCCTTTTTTTGGCTGAAGGGTAATGCATGCACAGACAGACAAACTTTAATATAATAAAATATATCTTAAAAGAAAATAATGTGAAATGAACATGACTATTTTGAGACTATCAATATATGAATATCTACCAAATGAGCAAGCATCCTGAATAGCTCACTTCCCTTTCTAAGATTACCTTGGATGTACTAGTTGAGATGGGCCACAAGGAGCTGAAAGAGATTGGAATCAATGCTTATGGACATCGGCACAAGCTAATTAAAGGGGTTGAAAGACTGATCTCTGGACAACAAGGTACTTCATTTTAATAACTGGTTGACAGTTTGTTTACATAAAGGCAACCCTCAGTATAATACTTTAGAAGTCTGTGAAAAGCTTTTTTAATAGGAGGGGTACTAGTAGGATTGCTAATACTTAAAACTTCCCGACCATACTAATGTTAATTATAGGACCCAAAGCAAAGTTTCTCGGCTTGTACAGAAATTTTAGGATTATTTTAGCTCTTGGAAAATAGGAAGGTATAATTAGAAGTTAACCTAGGTCTGAAGTGTTCTGATTTTAAACAATCTGGAGCATAGGTATTTCTTTCTCATATTCACATGCTAGGAATGATTAAGTGATAGTCCATAAGATAAAGTAGTGTTTTCCAAATTTACAACAGCATGGGCCAGAGTCCTAGAAAAGAATAACATTTTGTAACACTTAGCTAAAGGAAAATGCAAATTACATTCATGTAACAGATGTTAGCACTTTGTGTGTACCAGAATTAGGTAAAAATTGTGAATTACTTTAGGAGTCAAAAATCACATTTTACCTTTATTATTAAACAGAAACGGTGATTTACTGAAATGTTGATACAGCACTCCTAGGGATGTGAAGTAGTACAGCCACTGTGCACATCCGTAAAACTAGAAACCATCATGATTTCACCATGACCACCACTGGGTATAGAATTAAAGGAACCCAAACCTAGACACAACAGAGAGCTGCATACCCATATTTATAGCTACACAGTTCACAAGAACTAGGAAATGGGCGAGGTTATATGTCCATTAACAGGTGAATAGACAAAATATGTATATATTCACATACATACATACATACATACATACATACAAATAATGGAATTCTAGTCAGTTGTAGTAAATTATGTAGTTGAAATTATAACATTTACAGAAAACTAGATCACACTGAAGGTTATTAAATTAAATAAAAATAAGCCAGACTCAGTTAAATACCATTTGTTTTCTCATGTGGAGCACAGATTTAAATCTCTGTGTGTGGCATGGAAGTAGGAAAGGGATGATGGGAAGGGGGAGGAACAAGAGGGTAGTGGAAAATGTGTTACATAAAATTAGAAAGAGAGTGGGCTGCGGTGGTACATACCTTTAATCCCAGCACTTGGGAAGCAGAGGCAGGCACATCTCTTGAGTTCAACAGAGTGAGTTCTAGGACAGCCAGGACTACACAGAGAAACCCCATCTTGAAAAACCAATACCTCACACCCCCCTGCAAAAAAAAGAAATAAGGTGGGGGGAACAAAACAGAAAGTGAGACTGTTTGGAAGAAGGAAAGAGCAGCAGGAGGAGTGACAGGAAAGGAGTGAGGTGAGGAAAGAAAGGACATTGTGTGTTAGCACATGCTTATGAAGGGCTAGGATGGAACCTGTCACTTGGTATGCCAGTCAAAAGAGGAAAAAGTTTTTTTTTTTAATATCTTAAAATAGGAGGTATGGAAGTGGAATTGGAAAAAATTCTATTTGTAAAATGAAGTGAGTTTTCAGGGTATGGGGGATATGTGTACTGGCCAAGAATAGGGTTCAGAATTTTTATTTTGTGTATGAGTGAGCACCACCACCTGCATTCAATACTGGAGAAAGTCAGACAAGAGTGTCAGATACTTTGGAACAATAGAAGACCTTGGTTAGGGTCTCTGTACCCACATGACAGTTTCAGGATGTCCTTTGATGGCCTCTGAAGGGATTCACATGGTGCACACAGAAACATGCAAGCAAAAATATACATAAAATAAAATGAATCTTGGGCTGGAGAGATGGCTCCGTGGTTAAGAGCACTTGAGTGTTCTTCCAGAGGTCCTGAGTTCAATTCCCAGCAACCACATAGTGGCTCACAACCATTGTAATGGATCTGATGCCCTCTTCTGTGTGTCTGAGGACAGCTATACTGTACTCATAAGTAAATAGATAAATATGTTGTTGGTTTTGGTGGGTTTTCGTTTTTGGTTTTTTCCCTTAAAGGATCTTAAAGATTTGTGTACAGAGGGCAAATGATTTAGTGTTTATGAGTACTTGTTACACAATTACGAGAACCAGAGTTCATATATCAGAACCCATATAACAATTAAAAGCTAGGTGATTGCCTCTAACTCAACTCTGAGGGAACTGAAGATACCTTCTGGCTTCTGTGTACACAGGCACATACACACACACTAGTAATCTGAATATCATGGGTTTGATCCTGATAGAGAAGGGGCATTGATAGGAAAAGCTGGTGCAGTCCACATGAAGCTTGAGTCCTGCATAATACTGAGGAAAGATGGGTGATGTGTGTGCCTGGACAGTCTACACTTTTGCATTAAGATTTTGGGGAACTGATAGTATCAGATAGATTGTCTGATTATTTTGGCTTGGTGCTGATTTATTGGCAGTGTTTTTACTTGCAAATTTTATTTCATAGGTCTTAATCCATATTTAACTCTAAACAACTCTGGTAGTGGAACAATTCTCATAGATCTGTCTCCTGATGATAAAGAATTTCAGTCTGTGGAAGAAGAGGTATGTTCATCACACTTAAATAAATGGATAAGACGGATCTAACTACCGTGTTATTGACTTAGTTGCTGTTTCCTAGAATTTTGCAGATCTATTTGGACACGCATTTTGCTTTTTAAAATGTCTTTTCACCACCTTTGAAACTTTGAAAGTATTTATAATGCAGCTCTCAGCTAACCTTATTTAGATAATTTATATTGCTATTTCAGTTCATATTGAACCAGAATTCTGTTGGAAAGAAGGTTGCTGACATTTGAAAATGTGCTAGTGTTCACTCCCTCTGAAGGCAACTAGACCATGAAGAATCTCAGGCAGGACTCAACATTTAGATAATATTTATATGAGAAATTTTATTCAGACTTTCTTTCCAAAGAATTCTTCAATACACTGAAATCTTTGAAGAGTGCTCTCCCAATCCCCCCATCCCCAACCCCCTCTTGTGGTTTTATTGAAACAAGGTCTGGCTATGTTGTCATGTCTGTCCTGGAACTCACTATGTAGACCATGTTGGCCTCAACCTCAGAGATGCAGTTGCCTCTGCCTGAGTGGTTTTTATTAAAGGTTGTACACCATTACACCCAGCTGTACACACTGCACACCTTGATGTACATGTGCTTTACTTGTATAAATTAAGCACAGATACAAAATTAAGTAAGATTTACCTTTTAAACTCATAAGCCCAAGAAAATATATGTTGTGTTTATTAGGCTAATGGTAGCACAACTGAATCCTTGTTTTGCTTTTATGTTTAACATATTTTACATTCTCTTACTAGTTTACATCGTGTAACTTGAGTATAAACATGTTTTCAACTATAAATATCTCTAGATATACTCATGGTAAACCCAGTATTTAGGAGGCAGAGGCAGGTGGGGGTGGATCTCTGGGTTGAGGGTCGTCCTGGTCTACAGAGCAAGTTTCAGGTCAGTCAGGGCTACACAGAAAACCCTGCCTCAAAAGAAGAAAAAAGATGGTACACATAAATTTATAGAATTATGTCCTTTCAAGAAAAATAGTAAAACCTATCTTGAATTCTCAGAAATAGTATCAAATGAATTGAACACAACAAAACATGAGTCAGAAAAGACAAAACTAATGTGTACGTTTTAAATTACTTTCCATCAGATGCAAAGTACTGTTCGAGAGCACAGAGACGGAGGTCACGCAGGCGGCATCTTCAACAGATACAATATTCTCAAGGTAACATGACCAAAAGAAGGGTTCCCAACCAAAACTGTTACTTCCACAGCAAAAAGTCTTAAGTAAGGTTGATGAGAACCTAGTGATGTATGTACAGCACAATAGCTTTGTGACGAGGCTTCTGGGACTGTGGAGGGAGACTGTCCTCCACAATTTGAATTCTCAAAAACTTTGTTCACTTTTTTTGGGGGGGCAAAAATCTCACTATCTGCACAGGCTAGTCTAGAATTTGAGTCTCTTGCCTCAGCCTTCCTAGGCCATGGGGCTGTGATCAGAGTCATGGACCACATGGACCACCATGCCCACCTTTTTCTTTTTTTTTCTTTTTTTTTTTTTTTTTGGTTTTTCGAGACAGGATTTCTCTGTGTGGCCCTGGCTGATTAAAGGCGTGCGCCACCAACGCCCGACACCATGCCCACCTTTTAAAGATTCATCTATTTTTAGGTTAGACATGTTAGCTCATGCCTTTTAATCACAACACTGGGAAGGCAGAGGTAGGCAGATCTCTGGGTTTGTGGACAGCCTGGTCTATAGTGCAAGTTCCAGGACAACCAGGGCTACACAGAGAAACTATCTTTCTTACTTAGTGTGCTGTGGTTGTATCTACTACCATCAGATTGTTTAGACAAGGGGGAGTCACTTAAGCATGAAATGAAAAGGCTGATTTCTAAATTTCTATGTTCTATATGAAAAGGATTCATTTCAATACAATATTTAATGATTGTGTGTGTTTATGCACACACTAGAATAGCTTTATTTTTGCTGTATTTTATACATAAAAGTTCATTTATACCAACTATGGTTCTTGATTACATCTGTTATCCATATTTTGAGTCATTTTGTGGAGGTTTTTCTTTTTTGGTTTATTTGAGCCAATACTAAAACCGAAACTCTCATGCGTCCTCTTAGGGACCACCAGGGGGCTGTAGCACTTAGCACTAGAAATGTCCATTTTGACCATAGTGATATCCAAATGACCAGCTGTCATCTTTAAGTCTTCTCCAGACAAAAGTGGGGACTGGAAGGGAAAGAGATTAATAGGAAAGAAAAATTTGTGGTGGGAGATTATTTCAAATCATGTTGATGGTATTTTGAGTTGGGTAGTCCGGAGAACAGGGTGCTGTGCTCTGTCTCATGCATGCTTCTACAAAATTTAGCATGGCTGAGGTATTTTAGTAATGACTTAATGGTGACTTTTATTTAACTTCCTATTTTAAGTAATTTTAAAATTGAAGTATTTCACTCAACTTTCAAGTATTCATGCCCCTTTTGGCCACATGTAGTTTCTTTTTTTTTCTTTGAAAAAAAATTGTTACATGTGTCTAAACTTGTGTAGACACATATTGCATGTACACAGCCACATATGTGGAGGTCTAAGGACAACTATGGGAGTTGATTCTCTTTTCAGTTGTGTGGTTTTTTGTTTTGTTTTGGTAAGATAAAAGGTATTATTTAAATTTTCTGGTTTTTATAGATTCAGAAGGTTTGTAACAAGAAATTGTGGGAAAGATATACACACCGGAGAAAAGAAGTTTCTGAAGAAAACCACAACCATGCAAATGAAAGGATGTTATTTCATGGTAGGTTTTTCACACTGCCCTCTGTAAGAGTGTAGCTTATGTCCTCTTAGTAAAGATAACATTTTTGTAACTTTTACATTTGTGTTCCTATCCTGTTTCTTTGGTTTTAATATACCTTCTAACGAACATTTTTATAAATTAAGATTACCCTGTTGGTGGCTAGTAAAATGGCTCAGGTTTGTAAAAGCCTTGCCACATGAACCTGATGGCCCGAGTTCCATTCCAAAATCTATGATGGAAGGAGAGAAGTTCTAAAATGGTGCCACATTTCACACTCCCCACACACTCCCTACGCTGGTTCAGTACAGTTTGGCTAAGCCTCTCTTAGCAAGGGCAGGAGAGGGGCAGTATTTGCCCTTGGAATCTTCTATAGCAGATGATGAAAGAGATATAGAAGATGATAGACAGAGAAGAGGTGCAGGGAAAAGGATACGAGCATGGCAGGCTGCTGGGGCACTTCTGACGATCTAGAGAAAGTGCAGAGATAAAGCATGGTGCAGGACCTGATGTCTTTCGGCACTGTATGCAGTGAGCTGTGAAGCCCTTGGGTTTCTATGTGTTTGACTCTGAAATGCAGTAATTTTTGCATTATAATTTCAAATAATCTATTGTTTTTCTATTTTCTAATTGAGTCTATCCTTTGGCGTCTGAACCACCACCCTATTGGAATCATTAATTAACATAAGGCATTCTTAGCTCTAAAAATAGTAAGCTAGGGTCTGCAGAGTTGATTTGGCAAAAAAAAGCCAAAGCCAAACACTGCTGTTGTATAAGACTCAAGTTAGGTTTCCAGCACCCACATTGAGTGGTTCAAACCACCTGTAATTTCTGGCTCTGTAGACACCTGCACAGAGCACATGCCACACAAAAATACAGAATTACATAATTTTATTTTAATTTAAAAAATGGCAACCAATCAGTGGTGGCAGATGCCTTTAATCCCATCACTGATGAGAAGGCAGAGGCAGGCAGATCTATGAGTTCTAGGACAGCCAGCGCTACACAGAGAACCCTGTCTAAAAACAATATATCACAGTTTATTCTGGCAGTGGTTCAGGGTTTTTTTTTTTTTTTTTTTTTTTTTTTTTTTTTTTTGTGGTTCAGGTTTTAACATCCAGGAAACCCGAGGTAATTCTGTGAGGTCCAGGCCTATCTGGTTAGCATAGTTCCAAGACAGCCAAGACTATGTAGAGAGTCTGTCTCAAAAACAAACAAAGAATTTAGCATCCGGGACAGGGTGTATGGCTCAGTGCTTGACTGGTGTGCACAAAGTCCTGTGTTTAATTCTACTTTCTTGAAAAGTTAACTTCTTAGAACCTTTAGTTTTGTTTTTGAATTGTTATTGCCCATGTTTGTATTTCAGGGTCTCCTTTTGTGAATGCAATTATCCATAAGGGCTTTGATGAAAGGCATGCATACATAGGTGGCATGTTTGGAGCTGGAATTTATTTTGCTGAGAATTCTTCCAAAAGCAATCAATATGTGTATGGAATTGGAGGTGGTACTGGATGTCCAATTCACAAAGACAGATCATGTTATATTTGTCACAGGTGAGAGATTGTTTATTACTTGCTTCGTAATAATTAGATCAGAACTGATTACATATTTGCGAAACGTGGAAGGCAAGGCATACCTGACAACTTGAAGGATGCAGATTAAACTTTGTCTTCTATACAGTAAAGCTAATGTTTACCAAAGGAGCTGAATGGACTAGCATGACTCTGTGCACTTGTTTAATTCAGCTTGAGTGCTGAGGACAGCCAGGAAGATAGTGTGCAGCTACTGCCTGGCTATGTTGACAGAAGAGCTGGGATGTGTAGGAGTTGAAGGGAACCTAGACAGCACACCTAAGCCCTATCTCCAGCAGGAGAAAAGAGCCAGACATGGTGGAACATTCCTTTAATCCCAGCACTACTCCTCCCTGTCTTGTCTTAGTCTGTCTCTCCCATGCACGCGCATGGTGTGCAGGGGTGTGGGGCAGTGTTGAGACACACTATCCTAGGCTGCCTTGGAACTCAGTGTGTCGTACAAGCTGGCCTCAACACGAAGTGATCCTCTTTCTGTTGCCTCCTGAGTTCTAGGATTCACTATGCCCAACTCATTTTATTCTTCATGGCTTTATTTTCCCAGTAGGTTTAGGCTTATGTATTATATTAGGAAGGCCCTTTTGGGTATGAATTACTATCATTTCTGTTTTGAGTCACAAATCCATACTTTTTGGGGGGCTACAGAATTTCAAATTTTATAAATTGAATACTTAAATTTTACTTGTCTTCTATGGCTGAGATTATTAGTAATAACCAATGTTCTTATACTTCCCCTAAGCAATTGTTGTCTAGAAATATGTTATGAACATAAAGCTTTGCTGTTCTGGGTTTCTGTGTCATCTGTTTTCAGGGTGAAATTTCCCTTTTCATGTTTTAGGCAGCTGCTCTTTTGTCGAGTGACCTTAGGAAAGTCTTTCCTGCAGTTCAGCGCAATGAAAATGGCCCATTCTCCCCCCGGCCATCACTCGGTCACTGGCCGGCCCAGTGTAAATGGCCTAGCATTAGCTGAATATGTTATTTACAGAGGAGAACAGGTAATTCACTTGTATTTGTTCGTCTTTGACAGTACATGGCTCTTACATGAAGAGGATGTGTTGCCTTAACTGAATTTGGGTGGGTAGGGGTTGGGGTAACTTCAGGATTCAAAGTTTACAAATAAAATGTTTATCATAAGATTTTCAGAATCAGGCTGGAGAGCTGCTCATTGGTTAAGAGCACTCGATGTTCTTCCCGATTGCCCAGGTTAAATTCCCAACACCCACATGCTACTTACAGCTCTCTGTCACTCCAGGTCCAGGGGGCCCAACACCCTCATACAGACATGCATGTAGAGAGAACACTGATGCATATAAACTAAAAATAAATAAACAAAGCATCTTAAAGAATGTTTTCAAAATTAGAAAAGAACCATTGATATTTCTAACCTATTCAATTTTTTTAATCAATACTGGATCCTCTCTTTTTTTTTCCCCCCTGTAAAATATAGCAATGCCGTGTAATTTTTTTCCTGCAGTAATTGACAAATGCCTAATAAAAAGCTAGTGTGAATCAGCATTCTAAGTCAAAGTGGGTGGCAGAATTCCCTCGGTTACTGACAACAGACAAAAATGTATTTAAATCTCACCCTAGACCTACCTGCTAATTAGAGTTTGAAGAGAACTGGAAGGTGGGAGTCAAGCAGGGAAGCGTTAGAGAAATATCCCCAGGTAGCTGAGGTATACAGGGCTCAAGGGAAGGAATGCCTATTCAAGGGCATGTTAACACGCACTAAAACACACTTGCCAACATTTGAACTAATCTTTTCTTTTCCAGGCTTACCCTGAATATCTAATTACTTACCAGATTGTAAGGCCTGAAGGTATGGTTGATGGCTGAAACCAGTTCCCCCAAACATAATGTCCTGAAGCAGCTGATGGCCTCTTAAGTTTCACTCCTTGGCGGGAAAATAATTCATCCTGACTACAGGCCTGTGGCAAAACGATAAAATGTGAAAGAAGCCTAATATTGTGACTTGATGAAGCTTTAACAGTGTACAGTGTTTCTGAGTGTTTCCTTTTCTCAGCACTTTAACAGATGCCATTCCAGGTTCAACTGGGTTTGTCTGTCCTAAATTATAAACAGTTAACTTGAATCTTTTATACGTTGTGCATTGATTCTAACAGAAATGGTAATCCCTCAACAGAACTCATTTTACTAATCAGTCCTGTGTTCTTTAAAACACAGCATTTACACTGAATACAATTTCATTTGTAAAATGTAAATAAGAGCTTTTGTACTAGCCCGATATTTATTTACATTGCTTTGTACTATAAACTGTTCTAGAGCTGCAGCGGTTTACAGAGTATTTTCATATGTGTTGCTCATCTGTGTTTCATCTGTCATTGCCTGAGTGATCGCTACGTTTGATTCCAGAGGCTGCTTGGTTGCTAATAAGAGAGTGGGGAAATACTGACTTAACAAATTTAATTTGCTGATAGAAGCATTTCTCTATCAATAGAAATCTTTCTCATTTAAGAATTTTACAAAAACTCTGGGAATTTAATTGGTGATGCCTTTGTGTCTACAAGGCACACATTCCAGAGAGCTCTGTGTGAGGTGACGGGGGACTTGTGGCTAGAGAAGCTTTTCAATGGCCTTAAACTCTGGGTCTTGCTTTAGAGTGGACTCTGATGTTCTCAACATCAGAGCAGAGCTCCCTCCAAGTTTTGAAGATGCTAAGCCCCAGCTTCTGAACACTTAGTGCTCTGGTCATGAACTGTAAGTGTAAGGTATATTTCAGACTTGGGAAGGCAATCATGGATAATTTCCCAATCAGATCTAATTACCTTAAATCTAAAATGGAGAAATAGCAAGTCGGAGTGGATTAGGTATTTTTTTTTTATTATTATTATTTTTAAGTTTTTCTTGATCTTATGGTTATATTTATAGTCAGTGTATTTATCATTAGTAAACACAATGTAAAACCATAAATGTGAGTGTGTCTGTGGGTAGCCTCTGGAATGGGCAAGCCCAGTGCTTCCTGCTTCTGTCAAGGCATTCTGCCCAGTTGGAAAAACATTGTCACAGGCTTAAGTTCAGTATGGCAGCTGTGGAAGAGATTACTTTCCATGAAAGGCCATTTTACTATTCTCTAGTGTATCTCTAATGGAAGCCTTACACTTAGCATCTTGCATTGCAGAGAGACCGGCCTTACTGCATGGAAGTAGGGGTTTTTTTGGGGGGTTGTTTTTTGTTTTTTGTTTTTTTTGTAGGAAACTATCAAAAGAACAAATCCGATAAAATAAACAGTAAAAGAGAAAATTGAAGAATATGTTATGTACAGATAGTTTTTGAGGTAAGTTAACAAAGACAGTTGATATACTCCTTGATCTCCACATTTTGAGTTTTCTGATCAACAAGGGGCAGCTTGTCATATTCCTGGAGCACAGCCTGGAATATCTCATTTCCAAGGATATTTGCAGGGCTAGTTTAGTTTCTAAGCTTGAGGGCAGAGCAGCCTTCTTGTATCCATTCCTCTGAATGGTGTACTCTTCTTCCTTCCTTGTTATGTACACAGAATTTCTTATGCACGATGATTTTAGGGTGCCGTTGGTACCCTGTGTTTTCCTGGGCTGCAGCAGACAGGATGGCCGAGGAGGCTGTAGTGGCTGTCTGTGTTCGTGTGCGGCCCCTCAACCCCAGAGAAGAACTTGGAGAAGCTGCCCGCGTTTACTTGCTGTCGGAGTTGAAATCTTTATCATCTGAGGTGGAAGCACTAAGGAAAGAGCTGCATGAGAAATCTGAAGAGCGAGCTAGGCAGGAGACTAGCACGCGTGTCATCTGAGAGGCTTCCCCAACAGCTAGTAGAAACAGATGCAGAAACCCACAGCAAAACATTCAGCAGAGCTAGGAGAAATCAAGGAGAGATTTTTATCCACTTAAGTTTTTGTAAATGAGGATGTCCTCTTCAGTCTCTATATCACTTTCTTTGTTTTACATTTTATTTGGTCTCTTAATTACCTGGTCCTTTATAGAAACTTGTACATAGGGTTGCTCGGAAGTTAAGTTTCCCATCCTATGAGCTAAGAGAGGTAGGTGTATGTCTGAAGTTGTTTCTAAGATGTGAATTGTGGTCAAGGATTAAGAGGTCAAATCCTGACATGGAAATGCTTTTATACGGCTCTCTGCTAACTACAGATATCATCCTAAAATCATTTCTTGAACATAAAAGGAGTATGCCAAATTTTATATAAAATTTTCAAGTTCTGTAAGCTTCTGGGTTTTATAGTTACGGTAATGAAATTAATGGGATTTATATTTACGTACTTGGCCTATGTTACTTGTGTGTGAATCTGGAATTGTTTTTTCATGTAAAATCATGGTCTGGTTATAAGCTGTGTTACCTCCTAACCCATTGCTTCCGTGTGTTTCCACTGTGGTCAGTATGCTGGCATGGCAATGTTTATTGGGAATTTGGGGGGTGTGGTTTAGTGCTTTGCATGAAATATCTTACTTTATAATGGTGGAATTGCTTTTTTTTTGCCTTGTGATTTTTTTTTGAAGTGAAATTTAATTTGTGTGTGTGTGTGTGTGTGTGTGTAGTGTTCTGCCCATCTGAGTGTCTACTTGTATCACATTCCATGCCCTCACTTAATTCTTAATAAACTGTTTACTTGTTTTCTGGGTAGCATGGTAATTCATTGAGATTACAGTAAATTGTAATTGCAAGAGAACAGTGTAGTGTTGAGTCTGTAATCGTGACAGGGTGCAGCATAAATGTAAAATGTTGAATGTTGTGGCCATACTTGCTCAGATGCTTCATGATGATGGTAAGATGTTTGGGCGTTTACACCATTCAGTATGACTTTGGTAGTCCTTAAAATTCATTCATGAAAATCAGTCTGCTTAACTTATAAAGAGAAATATATTTTTGTTTTCTATGTCATAAAAACATTCTTGATAAGTTTTCAAATCCCAGTTAGTCGTATTTTTTTCTCTAAAAGGAAAAAAAGTAGTGTATTTTATATTTCCATATGCTAATGACCTGTATGTAATTAGTCCTCAGTGTTCCATAAGAAGAGAGTGATGGTACAAGTGTCCCTAAGTCTCACTTTTGAAGTCTATATAAGCTGCTTTACCTTCTTGCTTCTTTTAAGATGATACTGAAGTGTTTGCTTGCTGTTTGCTGAGCGTGCATGCCCACGTATGATGTGATCCAATTGTTTGCAGGTTGAGGCAAGAAAACATGCAAATAAACTTCCCAAAGCGCTTAACAATTAGTTCTCTTGACTGTGCCTTTACCTCCTGTCTTAGAGTTTCATTGCTGTGGTGAAACAGTATGATCGTAGCAACTTTTATAAAGGAACACATTTAATTGGGTCTGGCTTAATGGTTTCAGAGGTCCGTTACCATTATGATGAGAAGCATGGCAACATGCAGGCAGACGTGCTGTAGGAGCTAAGAGCTCTTGGTAGGTAGGCAGCAAGGAGAGACTGTCCCACTGGGCATGGCTTGAGCATATATGAGACATCAAAGCCTGCCTCCACAGTGACACAGTTCCTTTAAGGCCACACCTACTCTGGCTAGGTTACACCTGCTAATAGTACTTCTCCCTATGGGCCAGGCATTCAAACACTTGAGTCTGTGGGGCCATTCCTAGTCAAACCACCACAGTCACCACAGTTCCTGTCCTGTCCAGACTGCAGTGGTTCCCTGTTGAGGGTAACATTTAAAATGGCCCCCAGCATGGGGCGTCTATCCCAGCAGCAATGTGGCTTTGCTTAGCACAGTGTTTGACTGAGCCCAGACCATCCCGCCATCCATGTGGTACTCAGTAGAAATGAGACTTTTTTTTTTTTTTGTATACTCACATACTGTCTTTATTTTTTATATATTTTTTGGTTTTTCGAGACAGGGTTTCTCTGTGTAGCCCTGGCTGTCCTGGAACTCACTTGGAAGACCAGGCTGGCCTGGAACTCAGAAATCCGCCTGCCTCTGCCTCCCAAGTGCTGGGATTAAAGGCGTGCGCCACCACCGCCCGGCTGAAATGAGACTCTTAATGCTTAAGTAGTATCCAATATTTATATATTAAGAAGTGCTCAATTAGCAAGATGCCCACACAATTAGAGTTGTTACCCAATACCTAACCTTAGATAAAATTTGTTACCGTGGACCGTTCTTGATGCATCTGAAGTTCTCCATGGCTGTTACATCTCCTCCTCCTCTCTCTCTTCTTCATTCCTGCCATGTTAGCCCCACCCCAATCACCTTGTTTATTGCAAATAATGTAGCAGCAGCAGGAACCCATCCTGCTACAGTTCCCTATCACCAGAACTGTTAGGATGGGAGTACTGCCTTTCACTATCTCCCAGGTCCCTGTATACACCCTGTGTTTCCTGGCTGGCAGGGTTGTGTGGCCTGAAGTAGTTACATCTTCTATTATTATATGTCTTCTCTATTTATGTACTTACTCACAGTTGCCATTCCCGTAACACAGATATGCTGGAAGCCCCCCAGAATGGGGTGCCAGCATATATCATGGAGCACTCTGCACAAAAGTGAGGTCTACTAATGGACTTTTAAATTTCTTTTATAAAATTATTGATCTGCAACAGACTAGAAATTGTAATTTGAACCAGGTGTGGTGGTGCACACCTTTAATTCCAGCACTCAGGAGGCAGGTGGATTTTTGAGTTCAAGGCCAGCCTGGTCTACAAAACAAGTTCTAGGAAACACACAAAACTGTGTCTTGAAAAATAAAAACACTTGGGAGGCAGAGGCAGGCAGATTTCTGAGTTCCAGGACAGCCAGGGCTACACAGAGAAACCCTGTCTCAAAACCAAAAACAAAAAAAAACAAAAGCAAAAAGAAGTACTTTGAAAACCAGCTGGTTTTAAGAACCAGCAAGCATCTGGATGAGAGTAAAAGCTGGTCTCTGGGATCCACATGGCGGTAGGGAAAAACTGACTCGAGTTGCTGTCTTCCACGTGTACGTGCAGATGTGCATCCATCCCTATCACATGTTTTGGATCTTTTGACCCAGGCTGCTCTCAAGTTCAATCATACCTCAGCCTCCTTGATGCTAAGATTACCTGTGCCAAGCAAATGGCATTCCAACATACATGCAGACAATACACTGTATGCATAAAAACCAAGGCTCTGAGAAACTAAAAGGCAGTTCAACCCTTCATTGCCCTCAGAACGGAGGGAAACACTGACACAAGGTAGGAAGAGTACAGCACCCAGTGTTACCAGTGGTGATTGTCATTACAAGCCTCAAGAGGAACTCAAGGTTGTTAACAGGAATTGATACTGCTCAACCTATACTATAACCAGGAGTTATGTGGGGCGGGGGCCATGGCTACTGCTGGGAGCTGATCAACTTTGAGAATGAGAAAAGTAAGGGAGACAGTCAAGCCCTGATCATGCAATGATATGTTATTTCATTACACATTACTTAGCACCATGAGCTTTGAAAATAGATGCTGGGGATTTAAACTCAAGTTCTTATGTTTGTGCAGCAAGCACTGCTGGGCCATCTTCCCAGCCTATTCCTTCTGAAGTCTGCTCAACATTATATGGAGGGAGCAATAGCTAAAGACACTACAGCAGTAACAACATATCAAGGTTACGACTAGTGATAGAAGTAAACCAGTTCTCTAAGAGGTTGACTACCAAAATACAGTAATATAGGGAACTGGAGAGATGGCTCAGTGGTTAAGAGCACTGGCTGCTCTTCCAGAGGTCCTGAGTTCAATTCCCAGCAACCACAGGGTGGGTCACAACCACCTGAAATGGTATCCGATACCCTTTTGGTGTGTCTGAAGACAGATACAGTGTACTCTATAACATATAAAATAAATCTTTTTTAAAAAGTAATATCGAGCATAAGAGACAATGGAGTACTCTATAAAATAGGTATCTGTGTTACACCCTACAAGACTCAGATCATGAACAGAAAAGGAGGGTGTGTGAAAGATTCTAAAGAGCAAAGCTATTTACTGGTTGTGGCAGGGCTGTTGCACACATAACTGGCGTCAGATCAGACCAACAGAAATCCAAGATTAACGGAAGAGGGGATTATGAAGCCCTTCCCCTATCTGGGCAAATGATAGCTGGGGGAAAAAGGATGAGTCCCTGTTAATACTTCTCCTTTAGCTTTAATATTCTTCCAAGCTCCAGTAGGTGACCCATGCCTAGGCACTAAGTGAACTCTGGGTATTAGTACATGAAATTGGGAAGGAAGAGTGGGAGTAGGGGAATCACTGGAAGAGGAAGGGATAGTGGAATGGATTGGCTCCAAATTACATGTGTGAATATTAAATTTTTTAA